CATTGTCCCAGAGATCATTATCACTAAAAGTTAAAGGAAATTTCAAATTTTGGGTTTAACACCAGAACAGAAAGAGGGATCATCTTCCAATGGGGACACTACTTCTCGTGACAGTCAGATATTTCCTCACTTTGGAGGTCACTTCCTCACTTCCTGTTTTGACTATGGGACAGGAAGTGAGGGGAATTATCCCCAATGTGATACAGATGGCAAGAAAGAACCTGACAGGACTTATAATCTTCCCTTACTCTACTGAAAAAAAAAAAAAAATAAGTTGTGACTTTAGTTCTACTTCAAGATTTGTTTAAAGTTTAAGTTAAGGTTGGAGGTGACGGCATGTACAACAGTGCTGTGAGAAAATGCAAAGAGTGGTAATCCATAGCAAGTAATCAAATTTCACTTTACTATGGTTAAATCAGTGATGGGATTACAGCTTTTTAGTTGGCAGAGTTACTGTACTTTGCATGTTATCGCTGTCCTTCCAATGCCCTATTGCACTCAGTGAGGCAATGTACAAAGCTGTGAGTACATAAGAAAGTAAATTTTACGTTACAGTGGAGAGATCAGCAAAAGGCAAATGTTTTCTATGTGTTAGTGCACACCACAAAATTTCATCCTAATAAGTCAACACCTATGCATGGTTCTAAAATATTAGAAAGTCAGGTTAAAAAAATGTGTACAGAGATCTTCACTTTTATCTTTTGGCAATGCTATCATTTATACAGAAAACAGAGTTTGTTACAAACCACTTCACCTGTTTAGATGGATGCATTTCCGAGTGATTTTCCAATCATCAAAAGCATATGGAAGAATGAAGATAAAAGATAAATCAGTGTTAACATAAAACCATTGACATTCTAAATGCCATTATTTTCCCTCCAAGGCACACCTTAATTATCCTTATGAGACACTCAAGCACAATCCACACACAGTTTATGCTGTAATGCAATGCCAGCTTAATACTATTACTATTTCATGAGCACGATGTTAAATAACTACTTCCTTTTTTTCCTCAACCTAGACATCGGTAACGGCACTGTTGTGACAAAGTAATTGACCTTTCTCATGTCGTAAAGGAGTTTGTTCCAATTTGAGTAATCCCAAGATGAGAATATTAAGCTTGCTCAATTTCATTTGGAAATGAACGCGTTACGCTATTGTACTCTACTACTGCCTTAGCTGGGCAAATAGTTTAATATATGAAAGGAAGTAAATACTTCAGCAATGCATTTTGACTAATGAGCAATGGCTGGAATGTTTGAATTCTAACTATTTTTAATTGCCTAAATTTTTTCAGTACCTTTCAACAAGGACATCAAACCATCTAGGTACATGATTCCCAAACCTGGACCTCATATGCCCTCATTGGATCTCATTTTGCACAATATTAATAGAATGGTGAATATCTAGAACTCCATAAGGTCTTTACTGCTGTCCATGCTCTGGCTGGGGAGATTCACTTTCTTTCATTGCAAATGGAACAGAAAGTGAAGGAAACTGAAAAGTCTTTCATTTGTTACCAGAACAGGATTACAAGGGAAATCCTTCAATGGAGACACTTATTCTGGTGACAAGTATCTAAGAGTGAATTTCACCTTACTTTGGGCAGGTTACACTCCTGTTGTGTTACTTGGAAAGGTAATGAAGAGAATTTACAAGAATGGAATGCATACAGCAAAATAAAGAAATAAACAAACTAAACATAAGTTCTAATTAACCGCCTTGCCTCCAATACTTACAAATAAATGGCCCATAACAAGTGTGCAAGTAATATAGCAGAGGTCTGAGCTCCTGATTTGCACACTGGTCCCGGTCAAGCTGCAAAAGATCTAAGGATTAGGGACTTATGATTCTACTCCTTAATTCAAACTTCTGATTCTTGTCTTTCATTGCCACCTGGTTGCAAAGTAACATTAAACATAATTACCTCCTTTAAGATCATTTAGAAACTCTTTCCTGCCCTCGGCTTCATACCTTCTGTTCGCCCACCCAATGAAGCTCCTTATTGCTCATAGCTCTCTTCCTGCAGCAAACCCAACTAATAACTTCCCTTTTACCTGTAACTCTTACGCTCTTGTAAGCCCACCAAAAGAACAACCCTCCCACCCACAGCTTTTCCTCCTGTAAGCCAACCCAGGAAGATCCTACCCACCTCTAGCTCTACCTACTGTAAGCTCACCTAAGAAGCTCTCTCCCACCCAAAATTTTTATCACTCCTGTTAATCCAGCCAACAAGGTCCATTCCCCCTCCACAGCTCTCTCCCATCTGTAAGCCTATCCTAGAAGCACCCTAACATCCACAGATCTCTCCCTCCTGTAAGCCGACCCAGGAAGCTTCATTTCACCCCCAGCTTTTTATCTTCTGTAAGCTCACCTAATAAGCTCCCCCCACAAACTCAGCTCTCTTGCTCTATTGAAATCACCCAAAAACTTCTCTCCCACCCACAACTCCTACCACGCCTGTAAACTCATCCAAGAACTTCCCTCTCACTCACAGCCTTCTCTCTTACGTAAACCCACCTAAGTCCCTTCCTCCAGCCCACAGCTCTCTCCTTCCTATAAGCCCGACCAATAACCCATTTTCCATTCACAGGTATCTCTCTCTTGTAAGCCCAACCAAGCACCTCCTCACCACCATCTGCTTTCTTCCTCCAGTAAACCCACCCAAGAATTTCCTTCCCACACACATCTCTCACTCTCTCTCCCGTAAATCTACCTAATAACCTCCCTCCAACCTACATATGTGTCCCTGCTTTAAGCCCACCCTAGAACCTCTCCACTACCCATCAGTTTACAGTGTAGACATTTCCACTTCATGCCTGATGTCAGCATTCACTTAGCGTATGACTAGTGGGACAGATTCCAATAATTACACCTGCTTAATTAAAAAGTTTAATTTATGTCTATTAAAGAAATTGATCAAAGGATGATGTTTGTATATTTGCCTAAATTTGGAATTTTTGGTTCAAAAATATGTCTTTTTAAATAAACCTGAAATTTATTTTATGGATCATTAGCTCTTTAACAAAACATTGACTAAGCCACCTTTTAATATGTCCGCTGTGAAAAAAAAAAAAGAAAGAAAAGCTGTTGGAAGCTAATGTTGAGATCCTAACACCGAGGGTGACAAACTGTAACAAAGCCAATTATTATAATAAGTGTGTTATTTTAGATATTTCCATGACCCGCTAAGTTGATCTGGCCTTCTATTAACATACTATTTTCCCTTCACTTGGTAGAATTCATTCAAAACAGGTCATTATCTAAAGCCTTCGCACTTCACGTTATTTGCTTAGTCATGAGAATTTCTACACAACTAAACTAAAGAACGAAGAGACACAAAGGGCAGGTCAGACTATTCATTTCATACATCCCATTAACAGATTTACAGCCAAAATAAAAATTTTATATTAATTATTAGTATATTGTAAGTGTCTGTTGAGCACACATCAGTATATTTACATTGAGATGTTTGTTTCATTGTGATATTTTCAGTAAGTAAATATTGAAGCAACCTTTCCATTTATGCTAAAATTCCTCATGAAAATGTATTTTCTGCATGAGTGCCGTCACATGAGGTGGAGTCAGCTAGACCACAGATGCAGCTGAGATCGTCATTTGTAGCTGTGAAGGCTCCGACAGCAATTTATTCTATGCTAGGATGACAGGACTTTATTGTTAAGCTATATATAATTACATTTTTTTTTTAAAGGTCAATCCACCCAAAACTGAAATTGCAGGTTTGAGTAAAAGCCTATGGGCTGAATCACTAACTGGTTTCTTCTGTCTGCCAAAGACCCGATCTCCTCATTTGAAGTCCCAGATCTACCCATTTGTTTTACATCATGGAGAATGCAATTTCATGGCTAGAGGCAAAGCACATGACTTTGATGGGGCTCATCTTGCACCACTCTTGATATATAAGAAACCAGTGGATGTTTCAGGCATCCATAAACCAATCCTTTAAGACAGGGGTGGGCAACTGTGGCCCTTCAGCTGTCGGTGAACTACAAATCCCATCATGCCTCTGCCTTTGGGAGTCATGCTTGTAACTGTCAGTTTTGCAATGCCCCATGGGACTTGTAGTTCTACAACAGCTGGAGGGCCACAGTTGCCCACCTCTGCTTTAACGGATATCTGCAATAAAAGAAATAAAGGTCTGCCACTCATGACCATCTTTTAAGAATACTAATTGGTCACTAGTTTCAATATGACTTTACGAACTGTGAAGAATTATGCAAGTTAGAAAGTCAGACTGATTTCAGAACTCCTATTTTGCATATACTGTATTGCTAAAAGTATTGGGACACCTGCCTTTACACACATGAACTTTAATGGCATCCCAATCTTAGTCCTTAGGATTTAATATTGAGTTAGCCCACCCTTTGCAGCTTTAACAGTTTCAACTCTTCTGGGAAGGCTGTCCTCAAGGTTTAGGAGTGTGTCTATGGGAATGTTTAACCATTCTTACAGAAGCGCATTTGTGAGGTCAGGCATTGACGTTGGACAAGAAGCCCTGGCTTGCAGTCTCTGCTCGAATTCATCCCAAAGGTGTTCTATCAGGTTGAGGTCAGGACTCAGTTAAGTTCCTCCACCCCAATCTCGCCCATCCATCCCGTTATGGACCTTGGTTTGTGCACTATTGCGCAGTCAAGTTGAAACAGGAAGGGGCCATCCCCAAACTGATCCCACAAAGTTGGGGCATGAAATTGTCCAAAATGTCTTGGTATGCTGACACTTTAAGAGTTTCTTTCACTGGAACTAAGGGGCCAAGCCTAGCCCCTAAAATACAATCCCACACCATAATCCCCCCTCCACCAAACTTTACACTTGGCACAATGCAGTCAGGCAAGTACCATTCTCCTGGCAACTGTCAAACCCAGACACGTCCATCGTGATTTGTCACTCCAGAGAACACATCTCCATTGCTCTAGAGTCTAGTGGCAATGTGCTTTACACCACTGCATTCGATGCTATGCATTACACTTGGTAATGTAAGGCTTGGATGCAGCTGCTCGGCCTTGGAAACCCATTCCATGAAGCTCTCTACACACCGTTGTTGTGCTAATCTGAAGGCCACACAAAGTTTGGAGGTCTTTAGCTATTGACTCTACAGACAGCGACTTCTGTGCACTATGTACTTCACCATGCGCTGAACCTGCTCTGTCATTTTTCGAGTTGCTGCTGTTCGCAGTGTCTTCCACTTTGTTATAATACCACTAACAGTTGACCGTGGAATATTTAGTAGCAAGGACATTTCATGGATGGACTTATTGCACAGGTGGCAACCTATCACGGTACCATGCTTGAATTCACTGAGCTCCTGAGAGTGGTCCATTCTTTCACAAATGTTTGTAGAAGCAGTCTGCATGCCTAGGTGCTTGATTTTATACACCTGTTGCCATGGAGGTGATTGAAACACCTGAACCCAATGATTTTGGAGGGGTGTCCCAATACTTTTGGCAATATAGTGTACTTCCAAAAAGTACTTTCCAAACTCTTGAAGCCAGAGGATCAGCATATCAGTCAGGCAAAGAGAATTTGCAAGAGAGATAGCAATTGGAGTGTCCATATTTTCTCATGTAGGTGTCCTTTAGACTAGATGGATCACTCAGACATCAATGTGAATCAAGCAGTTGCAATATCTTTTTTTTCCATAAAATTCTGTTTTCATCCTTTTTACAGCTCAGAGCTGCTGATCTGCTCCAGTCTCTTTCAGTAATTTCCTGTCTATATGTTACCACGACAGCTGCACAATATTGCTCTTGACAGGCTTCCCGATAGACAAATGTGGACTAAGCCTGAGCAATGTATGTCTACAAAGCCATTGTTGTTTCCACTAGGGAAGAATTTGACAAAGTAACAATATAGGAGCACCATTCAGAGGCAATTTTCTCATGACTGAACAAGGACATTCATAGCAGGATCATAAGGTATTATTTTAAAGAAAGCTGCAGAGCAAAATAATAATTTTTGAGACTGTTAAGAAAACAACCGGGCCCCTTCTCCAGGGCTCAAAGGACCTATCTAGCAATATCTGAATACCCTCTCCATTGCGATCACTGTGACCAAGTGTGCAGAAAAAGTGTTCAGACTAGGAGTATGAATGTAGCATTCCTGTTCCTGATGGAGAGTTGACAAACTGTACAAGGTGGTGGTGGTGGTGGGGGCAATGGTCACAAGTGATAGGAAGTTGGGTACAGAGAAGTAGTTGTGAGGGTTACGATAATGAGCTGGGGATGTTTGTAGAGGGTGCAGGACTGAAGATTTTAGAACTGGCTTCATGAAGAGGGCTAGAAGATAGTTCATTTGGTGCAGAGCAGGGGTTTTGAGGGTTGGATTAATGAGTTGGGCATTTCAACTATAGGGGGAAGTTATAGGGTTGTAGATGTCTGATGCAGTGGGTACAGGGTTGAAGATCAGGGCATTAGCTCTGTAAAAGGGGTCAGAGGAGATCCTGAGTTAGGTGCAGAGGGTGAACCGTAAGGGTTGGGGTAATATGCTGGGTATGTTAGTTGTAGAAAAAGTTATAGGGTTTGTGAATGTTTGAAGCAGTGGGAATAGGATTGACATTAGGCCACTGGTTTAATGGAGGAAGTTAAAGGAGATAGCAAGTTATGTGTTAAGGGGTAAAGGGTTGGGCACATGCTAGTAGAGTTATAGGGGTTGTGGATGTCGGGAGCACTGTGTACAGAATAAAAACATTGAGGCACTGGCTCCATTGTACTTTTATGTCTTTTCTACCAAATAGGTCTGCAACTAGGGATTGAGCTTTGGGTCTGTGTCAAACTCACATTTGACCTGAACCCAGTCTGTTTGCAGTTTGTCAGTTCTTCAAACACCCTGGCCAAATGTGGCCAGTTCACCTGCACCAATCCCCAGCTGCTGTTTGTAAATAAACAAGTCAAGTATTACGAGCAACATCGTTGATCAAATATAGTATGGTAATAATATGGTGCTCTAAACAAATTCCCCTGTGGGTAGGTATCTGATGGTCTCTAACTAAAAGAGCTCTTCCAGATATAGGAATACATTATAATTATAGCAATATAGTTCCAGTAGATAAGAATATAGTTCCAGTCAAAGGAATACCACCCCCCCATCCCCCAACAAACCTGCCTTGCAAAGGGAGGGGGAAAATTTTCCATTCCCCTCCCCCCTTGAAAGGTACCCTTCTGATTATTGAAAGGCATGGGTCTGATATGGTTCTGTAGGTGGTGCTGCATGCTTTCTGCCCCCCCTCCCCCTTTCCTGACCACCCAGGATGCAAGCTTGAATAAGGACCAGGCAGGAATTTTAAAGGTGCCATATTTTTCATTTTTTCCTCACTTTTAAAGGAATGTATCATACTGTTCTTTAACTTCACGTTGAGCTTTAAGGCCTCACCAAAGCATGTTATTTAAAGGTTTTGTGTATTTACAATGTTGCATTTTAAGCTTCATGAAAAGACTTTCTCCCAACTGAATAATATTTTTAAATTGGTATGTCCCCCATGGTAGTGTCAAGCTACCCATACCCATTTTTAATAACTTGCAAATTACCTTTAAAAATATCTGAAAAGAAATCAAGAATTATCACCTATAGACCTCAATAGGGTGCAGCTCTATTTTTGGACTTTTCAGATTTAACACTGGGTTCACTAAACCTTGGGTAATCCAAACTTTGCCCTGATTTGCTCATACCTATCTGTAACCTTGCAGATTCGTCTATCATTTTGAAGCAGGTTTTTTTTATCTTCATGCTCCATCATAAACAGTTTCCATTCATTATGTTTCTTTGGAGTCATCTTTCTTTTGCTTGCATATGTTTTACATTTTTATTATAACATTTTCTTTTAGTACCAAAGATAAAGAAGTAAGTTCTACAGGTTTTTTTTTTACTTTTAAATCTATCAGTCTTGAACCTAAGCTTTGTTTGTTTTCTGTAACAATATAAAAAAAAAATATATTCTAATAACCTTGCCTATAGAAGTAATTAGATTCTGATTTCAGGCAATGATATCTCTTAGAAAAGATAAAAATGAAATCTTTTGTGTCTGTTGGAGATATTCCAAGGCAAGCACATCTGTTCTTTAACACCTCTACATGTAACAGCTTCACACATATTCTAGAAAACTCTGTGTGATAATTTACATTTTGTTGTAGTGTATCATGCTTCAATAATGATAAAAGATTCCAATTATTGTTCTAATATCATTCTGCATGTGTGAAAATGCACTGTTGAGGATTAATATAACTTTGTATATATGTTTATTGAGTTAGCATTGATAGTGCTAATGAACCACAAGTGATTGCTATGCACAGAATTTAGAATAGCTGATAACATCAGGGGAGCGATGGTATCTTTCCCTATGCAAATTAGGGCCTTCCACACATCATTCCTGCAAATTAGTTGTTGCTAAGACCACCTTTCAGCAGTTCAGCTTCAAAGGAAAACAGCCATATGACTCGGAACTTCTCGGAATTGAAGACAGCAAAAAAAATTTGAAACCATTTAAAACTATGACCCTGCCTAACTCTACCAAAAAAATAGGATTATTGTACTTACTGTAAACTCTTCAAGTCCATTGAGAAACATAGGCATGTAGAATAATCTATGACATGTGGGCTGTACTTCTGCCTATAGGAGTTCTGGAGACTGGAAAACATAAAACATTAGGCCAGCCCCCATATCATCCCACCTCTAACTGTCATATCTCAGTTTTCTAAGAAAGCAGTGCATAAGGCCAACAAAACAGAAGGGTGGGGCTTGTGTTTCTCAATGGACTTGAAAAAAAAAAGATTTTATGCCAAGTACAAGAATTTTATTCTCTTTTTAATCCATTGAGGGATAGAGTAATGTAGAACATGTTGGACTGTAGTCAAACTGGGAGGCGGGCAAAGCCACTGTGAAAATAGCCAAGATTAGTGGAGTGTCAGTGGATTGGAGTGTCAGAAAAAGGCTTGAAAGAACATAATTTTCCAAAAAGGAAAGAGAATGCTTCAAAGAAGGATATGTCAATCAACCTGATGTTGCACAGCAGGACCGACACACTGCAAAGCAGCTATACCTGAAGGAGTCATCCATTTTATCTAAGAAAGAGGGGGATAATCAGGTATCAATCTTAAGAAAAATACAACTGGTACTATAAGAACCAACAGATAGTAGTCCACCAAGGAAAACAATTATAAGGAAGACCCAACTCTGAAAAACAAAATCTTGGACAATAGGTAAAAAAGAAGAGATAGGACAAATAAAAATATGTCCATAAACTAGAATGCAACTGAACAAAGTCAAAGTCTAAATCAAGTATTGTGACTTCTTAAATATAAGGCAAGGGAAGCAGCAACATGAAGGGTGTTCTCAGTGAGAGAATATCTCAAAGAAAAGATATGGATATGAAAGTTAGCTGAATAGACAGCAAAAAATAGATACCACAACCCATAAGTGTAGAAAAAAGAAGAGTGGAGTGGAAAAAGGTAGGAAATTAAGCCCTGGAAAATAAAGGTCACCAAATTTACAAAATTCCGCTAATGCAAACTGTGTCATAAGGTAAAAACAATACTGTAGGAGGTCACAGGAATATCCCTTGTAGGGATTGTTATGGTCTAAGCCAGTGGTCGGCAAGCCGCAGCTCGCGAGCCACATGCGGCTCTTTACACACTTTAATGTGGCTCTTGTGTGCCGGGCGCCCGCTCCCCTCTCTCCTCTCGGGCGGCAGGGACTCTGCAGCGTGATCCAAAAAAAAAAACAGCTAGGGCAGCGCGCTCAAATGCAATGATTGGCCAGTCTCGCTGCCACTCACATCCTGATAGCCAGTGATTGGCTGTCAGGATGTGTGTAGGCGGGGCAGTGTGACGAACGTGAGGGGAGCTAGGCTCCTCTCACAGTCCGCCCTGAAGACCGGAACGGCGCGGGAACACGGTGAGAGGAACGCGCGGAGCAAAGGTAAGTGAATTGACACATGGGGGACTTGGGGACTTAATATGGGGGATGAATTACTATAGGGGGGATGAATTACTAGGGGGGCTGAATTACTATATGGGGGATGAATTACTATGGGGGATGAATTACTATATGGGGGATGAATTACTATGGGGGATGAATTACTATATGGGGGATGAATTACTATATGGGGGATTAATTACTATGGGGATGAATTACTATATGGGGGATGAATTACTATGGGGGATGAATTACTATGGGGGATGAATTACTACTATGGGGGATGAATTACTATGTGGGGGATGAATTACTATGTGGGGGATGAATTACTATGGGGGATGAATTACTATATGGGGGATGAATTACTATATGGGGGATGAATTACTATATGGGGGATGAATTACTATGGGGGATGAATTACTATATGTGTGATGAATTACTATGGGG